AGCGGACTTACCTTGAGAACTTACTTTAAGTTGACAGGAAAATATAGCCGTGTAACTTATCAGCTATCACAAAACTATGATTAGTTTAATGCTTGGACTGGACGTATATCCATTGCAGGGGTCGTTGTGAAAAGAGACGAAAATTGCAGTCTGTACATTTTCATTTCTTCTCGTCCCGTCTGATGTACATTTAAAAATTTTCGTCTCATAAGATCTAGAAGATGCTTATTGCAGCGGAGCTTCTGCAGCAGATAACCTAATCTGTTTGTTTTTCTAGTAAGTGAAATCCGTCACACAGATTCTCATTCAAATTTTACACTGTCAAAAAAAAGTGTCTTGATAAATCACTCGACTGGCTTAAAAATGCTTCCACAGTGCGTTTTGAAGGCACGTTAGGTGCATTATCTCCTCTTTTTACTGTGAATCGCCTTAATGTCTTCGAAAAAACACCTTTAAGTCGTGGCTTTTTTAGAAATAAATAGCTTAGGTGCATTTGATAGACATCACTAATATATCAAAAATGCACAATACACTAGCTACAGTCAAGCTCCTTAATCATCCATCAGCCATGGATAAATCACGTAGTCATATTTTAGCTACTTAAAAGGCTGCGGGACCCTTGTCAGACACTGAGGCATACTGTGGCTACTCAAGATGTCTCTAGCAGAAATAAAACGACAGAGAACAGTGCTTTAGCTGCATTGTTTCTTCGACAACTATAGTGACTGTGGTACTCTCGAACAGGCGATAATGGCAATTTTGAGCCAGTCGAGTAACCAGGTTTGTTTGCCTCGCATCTACGAGGTAACGCTCGTATACCACTTACTCAGTCTCATGCCTTTGGCAACTTATGTTGGCAAAAGGACAGATTTGATGTGAAAAGTTTATAATCTAACATAACTCTAAAAGGTTTTCTGAAAACCATGTTTTCTCAGGATGTCTTATTATATGCATCAAAAATGCACTTGATTTACACGGAAAAAGATATTCAAAGTGTCTTGACTCAACATCCATGATGTCTCACCAAGATGCTACGGGTACATAAAATTGGAATCCAGCCGCTTTCGTAAGGCGTCGTAGCGCGTCTTTTACACGGAAATTTCATCTTACTGATCAAAAATGAAGTCATCTTTGACTCGCGTGAAGTGCATTTTTTTTTTCAAAAATACACCTCTTTTTTCACAGTGTAGTACCACTAATTGATGTATACATTTTTTTGCAGTTACAGGTATCTCTTTTTGGACAACATTTGTTATTTTTAGTGAAAACATAGCCTAATGTAGAAAAAAGTCTGGGCTTCAAAATAAGACTACTTGAATTCCACGACTTTTTTCTGTAAAAGTCAAGAGTTTCTTAGGTTTTTACGTAATAGCCTGAAAAACGTCAATTTTTTCCTTTATTTTTTTCTAGTGACTTGATAATTTTTTTCTTATACGACATGTTTTATGTTACCTGTGATACCCATCCAATCTGACTACCACCTCTCGAAAACATGATCCGAAATCTACCCCAAATTTTTATCTTGGACACTTCAATTGTCATCTGAGATACTAATTTTTAAAGCATTTTTAACTTCAATTTTAGTCTTGAGAACGTTTTTAATATCAAAAACCGACTTTTTACTTGGGTTTTTCAGCATTTTTGGATACTTCGAGAAGGAAAGCATATTTTTTGAAAAAAAGAGTTTAAAACCTGAGATAGGATCGGGAGTATCTGTTGTGATAAAAATTTTGAACTCAGTCAAAGCTTTCCTTCTCAAGTGAGTAAAAAAGAGGGACAGTACCTTTAACACAAACTGTAATATGCTCCTGTTCGCTGTTATCATTTTTCTTTTCCAGATGTCCAAAATCTTCCGTCAGGGTACTTTAAACTTTGTGTGTCATTTTCGATAATTGAATATAAATTGTAGTTGGTGTCTCGCGAGATATGTTATTCTCTAAGGATTAAAAGACGACGGGTATGAGTAACGTTAGACGAAACTTCTGCGACAGACATATTTCATTCGTGCTTCAACCCCAAAAAGTCAATATTTTTGGCAGAATTACATGAGATGTAATTTTCGTTCCGCACCATGTGAAACTTTTCATCCTGTTCCTGTTTCGTTATACAACGATGAATATAATGGTAACGGACGAGTAGTTATTGTTCATTATTTGACACTCTTATTCCTCGATTATAAATAGGTCTGTTTGAAGAAGATACTGACTATGGATAATAGCAGCCTTTTAATCATTTTTATTTCTGCTTTACATACACTATCTGACTACTATGACCCGAAGAAAAAGCCGGAAAGTCATGGTAGTTTAGAAAGCTCAGTGAAAACTCATTTGGCTTTTATATTGGAGTAGATACCTACTTTTTCCTTTTCTAAACAATAACATTTTATAGAGTATTCTTTGTGAGCCCATGAAGATCCATTGTATTATGCACAGGTAAAAAGACTTTAAAAATAAACTTTCCTTGAAACTTTTTTCTTCTATTCCCTGCAAATTTGATTTGTTTTACTTGAGCAAATAAAAGTACTTTTTCGAAAGTCGCCTTCATTTTCTCACAAAACTCGATTTAGATATAAAAAAAGCAAATAAATCTTCAGGTGTACTAAAATACCGATCTAAAATTGACCCAAATACGATCTATAATACATAGAACTCGAGCATGAGATTTGAGTTCGGAAGATGAATCAAATGGCGTGTGACTCGTGCAATAAATAGGTGCTTACGGCCTGTATAAAAAAAAACAGAGAGCGATTTAATGCTACAGATGAGTTCGATATTTATTCTAGTATTTTCAGGGATACGATGATCCTAACTATAATCATTTCTTTGCATCAATGAAGATGGTCACAAAGTGACCTAAACTTTATGCACTTTTAGTATTTACTGACACAATGAAAAAAGAGAAAGAAAGAAAAAGTTTCATATATCATTCTTTTCTTTATTTAATTCAGATAGATAATTTTTACTCTTTATTCGTGCTATCTTATCCTGTTTCTTGGCTGTGGCAATCTTGAGTATGTTCAGATCTGAATCTTGCATGTTTCCCAGACTAGAGCCCTGCAGATGACAACTTTTTGACAGCCTAAACCTAACCAAGATTAACCTAATATAACCTATGTAACTTTTCCCGAAACCTGGTTTCAGAAACCAAAACTTCAGCTTTGTTGCAGGTCGTTATTGTTTGTTATCTAAACAGCGTCTGACAGACAAGCTTATACAAAATAAATCACGTTTTAAATGAAGGAAGAAATGAATTGGTTGTCTTTTATTCTTCAATGCAACGTTTGAAAAATAGCTTTCTGATTAGGGCCCTCTTAATAGTAGACCAGAATTTCACTTTAGACTTTTGATGCTACAGAGGTTCTCTTATTGTTGTGTATTCGCCATCTGTTTTTAGCCAACCTTTTTTCTCTCTGTGCTTCGTCTCACTTAAACAGTTTCAGAACTACATCCGTTCGACTAGTACAAGTAAATGTTGATACGATTAGTGCTAAGCGAAATTGTGAGAAAATCTCAGCTCGTTGCAAGAGAGGTATAGCTGGTATTGTTCGTGGCATTTATTTCACCCAATAAGACTACGCTTTATTACTTAAAATATTGGCGACTTTAATGTAGTCGTCCAAAATCGGTTTTTTTCGTTTAGACTAAAAATAGATTAGCAATACCGTAATCTACAACCGAACCTATAAAAAATTGCATAACCTAAATCTAACGAGGGAACCGTTCTAAGTGATTCACCCGATTTAATCAAAATATACTTTTTCACCGGTTATTTTTCATGCTGATTACGAGTCTGATAGTCATTTCGGCCCTATGACTTTCTAGTATGGATCTCCAGCAACCAGATCTCTGAAGATCCACCCCGGATAGTTGAACGAAGAGATTCGGATATGGCCAGTTTGTAGAACACTTTTAATGTAAGAAAAATCACCGTGTCTAAAAATTTTATATCTCTGAGAGAACTTGTTTGGTATGTCTGGAAACTTGTGTACCTGTGTAACTTGACGTGCTCTACAAACTGGCCATATCCGAATCTCTTCGTTCAACTATCCGGGGTGGATCTTCAGAGATCTGGTTGCTGGAGATCCATACTAGAAAGCCATATGGGTCGAAATGACTATCAGATTCGTAATCAGCATGAAAAATAACAGGTGAAAAAGTATATTTTGATTAAATCGGGTGAATTATTTGAAACGGTTCCCACGTAAGCTAACTTATAAAAATTATAATATACAGGGCTGTATTTCAGACAAATATACCGAAAAAACATGAAAAAAAGGAAGACAAGTTATAACTGACTCTGGTTGGTCAACCTAAACGCTTGTCATGGAGATTATTTGACCACCTCTCTTCACTGTTATATATCTCGAATCTAACACTCAAACATGAAATTTTTAATTTACTTTAGTTTTACAACCGTTTATCAGTTACTAGAGACTCAAACAGAGCCCAGTTCTGAAAGCACCAAAAGAGGATACGTCAATCGGTTCTGACCTTTTTCAAGGATCTCATGAGGCGATTTCCTTCGAGAAAGACAGAGACGGATCGCCGAATCTTCTGCTGATTCTTTCAGAAATGAGTTTTGTTCGAGTCTCTATTAAGTGATAAGCGATTGTGAAACTAAATTAAAATTGTACCAAGTTGAGTTTAAGATTTTATAAAAAATTTTATCTAAAGCACAAGCATCGCTCATCATTATAATTCTCTCGTCGCAAAAAACACTATTTATGCACATGCACTTTTCGTGTTCAACCAAAATGCTACAGAAAAAAAACAATCAGTAAAAAGTGACGCCCCGTAATATTCAATATTCAAACTATTCATAGTCTACATGCGGAAAATATAAAAGGGTGTTCTAGAAGTTCTGAAGTAATTTTAAAATGCATCATTCTAAAATTACTTCAGAACTTCTAGAACACCCTTTATATTGTAAGTGAGAATAATAGGATTATGTCATTTCTCTTTGCATCAACAAGCAAACAGAGATTTGTTTTCAAAAAAAGGTCAAATAATTTTACCTTTAATTAAAGCTTGTAGGATAGCATCTTCTAATTTTTCTTTGTCCAGTTCTAACACTGTTATAAGATAATAACCAATATTAGATGTCATTACTTCAATGAAACTACTACGATTTGTATCATTAATAATATTATTGTTCATTGTTTCATACTCTTGCCTCCTAAATATATAAAAATATTTTTTGATTTCAAATGGCAAAAAGATGAATTTGTACTCTATTACCATACAACATGGTTTCTAGAGGTGTAATTATCTCGATTTTGAGTTGTACCATATAAACGTTTGTATTCACTTGAAATGATATTTGCTGCTCCACCGGTGCCCTTTTCAAGTAACAGTGATTTTTTAAGAACACAGACGAGCATCGTATATACATACATCAATAACAATTAATGGTGTTCCTTTTGTCAATGATTTACAAATAGTAATAACTGATGATGCACAACCCTCCATCAAAATTTGAACGATTGGTATTGTGAAACCTGTTAGATCGAAGAAAAAAAATACGATAAAATTAATTTATGTTCCTCATCTACAAAAGAGTATACTTTGCTGTCCAATGATGATTTTTCGTGATTCTTGTTCAATTTCAGCTCGAATTGTTGAAATCAAATCGGTACGACAATTTATTTTTTCTGGATGTTGATCTTTCCAATTTTGAATATCGGATCCATAGAGATCATCTAATAGTAAAAAATGAGTATGATTTGGATCAAGTGAACAATTTTCGTCATTTGAAAATGGTTCACGATTTCGATATAATTTAATTCGTTTGATATTTGTTGTAATTTCTGAGAACACTGCCTCTTTAGGTGGAAAATTGACAATAACAGCTTCACTTATCGTCTACAATAAAAAAGAGAAGCAAAAGGTTGAGTATGAAGAAAAGGAATCAAAACTTCTTTTCGTGTATATATACTGGTAATTCGATATCCGATAGCAACGTATCCCGACGATCTGCTCGATATCGCTTCAAACTAAGTATCGATTTTGATCTCTTTCGTTCTTTGTATTGTTGGTGATTGGCAAGCATGTCATCATCATTTGATTTTTGCTTCAAATGTTCATGATCTAAAACAGAAAAGAGAAAATACCTTATTTTTTTTTGAAAAATTTTATTTTTTTAATATTGCACCTGTTATACAATACCAATTTGTGATGCCTATACAGGGGATTTTTGATGGTATTTTGGTATTTTTATATCGACATTTATCAACAGCATCACCTACTTCTTTCATAACACCTGAATACATTCCACCAGTAAATATCCAAGCATCTAGGATTTATCATTTTCTGTTTTAAGATCTATTATATCGTTTTGTATACGCAACTACCTGTTGTAATAGCAGCAGCTATAAGACCTTGTTGAAATGCATTCTGAATACGTGGCGTTGTCAGTTTAGAAAATCGTGCACCACCTGTTACAGATATTATTAATTCAGGTGGTGGTAGACGCCATGCAGTGCGAAGAAAACTAACAATTTCAGATACTTGAGTTGTTTTTTTAGATGGTGACGAATTATTATTTATTTGAAGTAAATCATTTTCACTGTGTTGTCGGGTTAATAAACTATTCTTAATAACTGGTACAAATGGAATTCGTAGATACTTGAAAGTGAAATATATGTTGTTCAACAAGTAACATTCTGTACAGTACAGCTTACTTTTGCTAGTCGATCATTTTCAGCAAACAGTATTTGTCCAAAATCTCTGACTCTATTGAAAAATATATTTTTTATATAACAGATTGCGCCAATATCCTTATCCTCAGATTGAAGATATTGCTGGACTTGAGAGATAGTTCTCCTCATATTCAGTACTGTGTATGCGACGATGATCATTCAGTATAACATTCTTCGTGGAGTATCGTTCTTTTTTAGATATAAGAATGTATACAAATAGTGAAATTAGCATGTGCCCTGTATTAAATTATTTTTAATTAAATCATTTTGCTACGCACAACTTGGTCATCAATCTGTTGTTAGTATTAAGTGTAATTTCAAAACAGTTTCTTATTGGCTAAAAAGTAGAAGGAAACGAGAGCTTTGTGTGGTGCTTGACAACCAAGTGCAGCTGAAAGGCCTGATAGAATTGTATACAATGACAAAAAGGCAAAGACTTAAACCACATAACATTGCGAATGATCATCAGTTCATGCGAAGTATTGAATTTATAACTATTACCGTTTTAAAAAAGAAAGGCGGCTGGGTAGACTGCTTATAACTGTTGAAGGAAAAGAGCTAGAGACTTTGCGATTTTCACCGTTAGATAGAGAACATCGGGGAACGTAAGCGTATGCAGAAACTAAGTTTCCAGATGGTAAGCCTTTCAATGCAAAGTCTACGAGACTGCCGTTCATGGACTGTACAATGGATATTGATTTTCAAATAGTGCAATCGGTAGCCCGAATCGAGATGTACAATTCTAGGTCAGTCATAACTCTCTGTCTCTTATGATTTAGGAGCTATAAGCATCTTCTCGAGAGCCCAGATTTCACTCAGCTGACCTTAGGTGATCCTAAAATGGGTCAAAATAAGGGTAATCGGCCACGCTGAGTCGAGCGGTGATATTTATTTTTAGTTCCAAACAGACCTAAAGTCACTATATCACGATTTTCGAAATATCCGCTCTATACACAACATACGGGTAGAATGCTTTAATTTGAAAATCGTGATATA